ACTGAACAATGTGGTTTGATGTTTGAACTATCAAACTGCTTTTTGTTAACTTTTTTTTTACTGAACTATACGATCTGTTGTTCCAACCATTGGACCGCCTTCTGTTCTATTTTTTTTTAAGTAGACCAAGCGGGTCTGATGATGGATGGTCGAACCATCAGATCAAAGCGGTCAAATGTTAGAAACGATCGGACTGCATCCTTTTCAATTTTTTTAGGTAAATAACCTTTTTTCTCTCCTTTTTAAGTATTCTAATCAGTCATGATCAAGGGCCTGCAAACCCAAACCAGTGATTTTTACGCCCATCGAGCTACAGATTTCGGTTTTTGCAACTGTTTCAAGAAGAACGAGGAGAAGGCTAATGATGGCTGACCGTTTGGTCCACTGAAATACCGTATTTTGGACAAAAGGATTGATTTCATCAGCTGATAGGAGTGGGGCTTTGAGAGAGAGAAAGTGCTGAGATCGGAGACGGAGCGAGATTTTTGAAAGGGAGAGAGATGACCAAGAGCAGGCAAGACAAAAGAGAGAAGAGAGAGAAAGAAGAAAGCAAGTTTTTAAGTGTATAAATAAAACAATTTGATATTTGAAACATTGGACCGAAAGCAAATTTGATAAAAAAAAAATATTGTGAATGCATCCTTCAAAATAACAACAGTCTATTTTCAAGCTATACCGTTATAACGGTAATAAAACCCAATCAGTACATTAATTTCTTTTTCTTTTTTCTTTTTTTTTAACATTAGTCTTGTCGAGTCTTGATAGCTAATGCTCTCAAAACATGTCGCTTATGACCTGGCTAAACCTCATTCTTTCCTTATAAGATAATCCTGCCCGTGTGCATCGGTGTATTAATGGGAATAAGCTTGTCTCCCATGCCTTTCATACACATTTCACATGCTCTGTGGCATGTTCATTGCACAAAATCTCTCTTTTTTTCTCGATCACATTCCACATAACCCAAGGCTTGTATTGGTTATTACTCTCTCTCTAATTTTATAGCACCCAATGGGCCCCTCCCTATTTATAACACATGTAAGCACCATGGGAAGCATATACTGGTCGCTCTCTATCCATTCATTATCATTTTTCGAGACATTCCTCATATGTTGAATCTTGAAAACCTTTAAAACCAAAGGTAAGTAGGGCTGGGTCGTGGTCGTAGGATCCCCACACCCTGTTACACATTCATTTTTATGGTTAACACCTTTAATTAATACTCATCAAAATATATCTCCTTGATCTATTTAAAAAATGGGTGAAAGCCGTTTTTCCCATTGAATTACCCAAAAAAAAAAGTACAATAAAATCAACACGACCACAGGAGATCAATGGCCAAATGGCGCCAAATGTCATAGCTATACGCATCGCCATCCAATCCACACAACATAGGAGTGTGGTACCCACCACGAGGGTCATGTCATGTTCTTAATGCTTCCTCCATGTTTCATAACCATCCATCTGTTGATTGGTCAGTAATGACACTTATAGCCATATGTTCTACATGGTCATGTGGATCACAGCATACTCTCCATTGTTGATTGGTAGTTGGGGATACACACGTGGACCGCCCGATCGATCTATCGGATTGATTGTGTGTCGTATCTTGAGCACGTGCTTTGACATCCTAGATTGCCACTGCCCTTAGGGACATGCATATGCCTGTCTCCTTTTTTAAAGGGTAGATGCGTACTAAATGAGAGGAGAACCGTGTGTATTGTTTTTTAAATTTCTTTAGTCAATGTGAAGAGACGTGCTACCGTTAAAAGTATAGAAGAAACAATGCTTCATTATTGTGTTCGAGCCCTCTTTTGTAGGAGTTGCAACTTGCAAGGCTCGGCTTTGGCTTGATTCATTCCACAATTTTATGGGAGCAAGTTTAATAATGTTTTGAGTATTATTCAAAAGCAATTATTATTAACAAATATCTTAGGAATGGACTCAAGGCTAGGTGATCAGAGTGGTTGGTAATCACAAATATTGGAGTTGGGCTCCGGATCACTGCATTCGGATAGACTTGGGTATTTATTGGCAGATTGGATTAAAACTAACAAATAAATTAAGGTATTGTGTATAATGAGACCATTTATCTTTCGTACAAGGAGGTCACAATTTATTTACGGCTATCCAATGTGAAATCTGATAGTTTGGCTTTGTCATAAGATTCGAAAAAAATTTCTTTTAAACTTTGAGTCTGATCAATGGAACAAATGTAACCACCTAACTTCACATCCAATGGTCAAGATCAATTGTGACGAACTTGTACCAAAAGTAAATGGTCTTATTGTATACTTTCCTACAAATTAAAAAAAAAAAAAAGGAAAGAGTAGTGCTCCTAAGATCCAAATCACCCATCTGACTCGAGTAATTTTGAGTCCGACCAAAGATCGCCGACCTTCATCATATGTGCACTAATACCAATTATTGAGTTATGGCCTCTATTCCTCTCATCTCAAGGAGACCTTTACTGGCAACGGGCAGGCCCTGGGGTGAGCCAATCTTGACCCATGCTTGGCCTCCCATAGGGGTGGCCCAAGCCTAGGCCAGCCCTGACTAGGAATAGGGCTAGGGCTAGATCGGGCCAAGCTGGAGTAGATAAAAGAAAAATAAATCAAAATAGAAAGTAAATAAAAAATATGGCTGGGTTGAACCATCCTTATCGTATGCTGGGCTTAGTCATGGCACCAGGGCAATTCTGGCTGGAGGGCCACATTTTGTGGCCCAGGCCATAGTTATTTAGTGCAGGGCACCTTTCCCATTGTCTCCCCTACTTTTAATCAAGGAGCTTTTGCCGATCAAACCTGGAGATTTCTTAGGGGCCAAGGTTCAGCTTGGTGTTTTAAAAGCTCTTTGGGACTAAGCATTTCAATACTTCCATATTGTGTTCTTGGGTTAAAATCTATCTCACCCCACAAGATAAAGAAAGGGTAAGTATACAATGAGACTATTTAAATTTGGTACAAGGTATTCACATTAATCTTGACTATTGAATGTAAAATTAAGATCAAGTTGAAATTTCAAAAAAAAGCAAATTTTATATCAGATGGTTGTAAGTAATTGTGACCACCTTATATCAAAGGTAAACGGTCTCATTGTATACAATCCCATAAAAAAATTAATAGACTAAGAGGTCGATCTTATCTGACCAAATTTCACTTTATATTTTTAGAAAACCATGGAAACTTTGTCAAACACACATTTTACCGAATTTTGTGACCAAAAAAAAATGCTCCCTCTTCCCCTCTTTTTTTATGGAAAAAATCATTCTAGACCATCTCTCCCTTTCTCTCTTAAAACATGGAAAGAGAACTTTGCCCTAGGTCTCATTCTACTTTAGTTTAATGAACTAGACTGAAAGCAAAACTAACCCCACCATACTCTCTTTATCTTGACAAAGAAATGGAAGAAGATATACTCTCAATGGGATAAGGACATTGGGCCCTTCTCTATCTCTCTCCCCCCAACTATTGTTTTTAGGGAGGGAAGAAAAAATTATCGAACTCCCCCTCTACTTTATCTTCCTAGATAGAGGGTGACCATGCCTTTTTTTTCTCTAGCCAAAAGATTTCACACTCCCACATGAGCTCACTGTCCATATACTACCTCAAGTAAATCTCATTGGATGAGTATTCTTAGTATCCCATAAGAGATGTATTCTTTTAAATATGGGGACCAACTTCAAAAAGAATAAAACCAAAAAAATAATTCAAATATGCTTTGTATAATCTTAAAAAAATAACATCCTAGATTTCAGCTTATATCGTCAAATTTTTCGACTGTTACATCGAAGTGTTAAAGAACTCAAAATTTAATTTTATTTTGAAAAATAATCGCCTTGTGATTCTCAACGATCGTATGGTCTAGTGTTTCAAAACCCGGATCGGTAGGAGAGATAGTTCACCCAGAGATCCATGATGTAACACTTGATCGGTAATCTGGATCGACAATCTGGATTAGCTCTAGATCGGTCCAAATAGATAATCGAGAAAATTGCTAAAAAGTAATGAAATAATATGAAAAATTTAAAATAATGGTTTATAAGATGGTGATTTAGATGGAACCTAATAAAACATTATATAAAATAAAAATAAAAAATAATAAAATATACAATAGGGGTCTTAAGGGGAACCACATTAGAAACCATGCCGTCCCATAACTAGGTCAGTCCCGACCGATTCCCATCCAAATCATTGATTTGGATAGAAATCATCTAGTTTAAAAACAATATTATACCCCATATCCAAAACATATTTCCATTGTTTAAAAAAAAAATCGGCCTGGCGGGTCGTCCAACCCCAATCCCAGTTCAGATCAGCTACAATCTGGATCGTTCTCACATCATCCATATCATGATCCAAATAAGTTATAAATAAATAAAATAAAATACAAGGTTTATAGGGTGGGGATCTAGAACCAATTCAGTCCCCTCCCGTTCAGCATTTGAATCGGCAGCCCAGATTTTTAAAACTCTTTTAAGTAATATTTATGGTTGAGGAAATAAGTGGACACTGTGCTCCTGCGAGAGCACACTATACTCGCTCCGTGTATTAGGTAACACCACTTAGAAAACGCCCCTTGTTAATGAACTCGATCCAAGGAGTCGAGCCATGGTGACAGAGCCGTGCAAATGGACCATAGTAAATGGACAGCTTAGGTGAAATACATGCTTGAAGACACAATCACAGCCGTCCATTGACTTCCTATGGCATTACAAATATTGGTGTAATATTTTTCTGTCGCGTCCTAGCTGGCCTTTGGTGGACGGCACGACCAGACTTTGGCCGCCCAAGATGACGTGGCATGGCCGAAAGTCAAATCCAACGGCCATGATCGGTCATGAGGACTTTCATCGGACGCTTGTCGTTCCGTAAAAGGCTGTCATCCAGGGCAACCTATCTTTTCCCGTGGTTGAAATGATTCCCGAAATTTTCACCGAAATTTCAAGGTCGTTTGGTTTCGAATTTGCCACGATTCGACAAAGGAGTATATAAGCACCACCTGGCTTCTCCCATGCGCCATTTGCGTCCTTTTGTGTGTTCTAGAGAGAGAAATTGCTCTCTCTCTCCCCCTCGTCTCAAATAGGTGAAGCGAGCTCCAGTTTTTCAAGGTAATGGCTTACTTTTTTTATTGTTTCTTTTTCCTTCGATCGTCTCTCTCTCTGTCCTCTCTATCCACTCTCTTGAACTAATAACTCTCGATTGTCTCGTCTGAAATCTTCTCCTTGATCTCTCTACCTCAGAGTTCTCTCTCTGGCGATTTGGATGATTTGTGGTTACGTTCATCAGATCTGACGTTCTTATTTTTTTTATCATTTTTCGTTAATTTTCATCGGTAAATCGCCTTTGACAGTTGAAATTGGGTTTTTTGTGGGAGCTAGATGATATTAGAATTTTGGATCTAAACTTTGAGGAAAGTTGGGGTTCTTTGCCTGGATTGTGCAGATCTGGTCTATCAGTGAAGTTGATTTAATTTGATTGCTTGTTCTAGTGTTTGATCTGGTGCAAATGTCTTTAAAGTGGCTGATCTTCAGTATTCTAAAGAATCGTCAGGGTTCATGAGCTGCTTTGCCCGCAGATAAATTTTTTAGGGTTTTGGTATTTTGGATCTTGATTACTTCTACGATCAAATAATTTATGCTTGCATGTTGTTTTGAGTATTTGTTTAGGTTCCTTCGTATTTTTTTTGTGCTCGTTTTGATCATCTACTTCTTTGATCATCTTTTGTGTATCATTTCTAGATCTTGTGAAGTTCCACTCTCCTATATTTTGCTCTCTTTTACCTTTAATTAGAGGGATCTACTGAGAATGACGATCTATAATTTCAGTTGCATTTTTTTGCATTATCCACTGCTTGCTACTGATTGTTGATTCATCAGATCTGCTCAATTTTTTGTTTTTGTATATCTACTTTGTGTTATGCAACATGGATCTTGGAGGGATTGGTTCATCTACATGTTTGGTTAATTTTTCTCATCTACAAGAAATCCAAAGGTTTTCACTTTAGGTGTATCAGTTTTGCCCTTTTCAATTTCTCATCTGATGCATAATTTCTTGCATGCTATCTTTGATTCCTTCATGATCTGTGTGTTTTGTAAATGTTCTGATCTTTATTTTTTAATCAATTTGAATATTTTTCGGATTTATGTATATGTCAGATAAAAGTTAAACCTTAAAAAGGTGTGTTTTTAATGGAAAAATGTTATATGAGTCAGGGGGCACATGAAAAATCATGCGGTCCCCTGACCATCAAACATCCATCTTAAGATGGGACAGTAATAAAGAGGCACCCGAAACACTGTTAACAAATATATACCTTTGAAATTTTAAAATTTATTTATTTTTCTATATTGAAGATCACCATGGCCTAGATCATGAAGCTCTTAAAAGTTTAAATTCAAAATGCATCTCTTAGATGGACTTTAGAGGGGGACTACAGGCATGTGTGGATGGGGACTCATAAAAAATCCATCCTCTATTTAAAATTTGGCAAAGTTTTTCTCCTTGTGGAGGTTTCCATTTTGGTCAGTCATGGACTTTATCTGCATTTATGTGATTTGCAGTCATTGACATGCTTTTCATGTGTATGCTACCAAGTAGCAATGACTTATGTAATATGTTGGCAAAGTTTTTCTCCTTGTGGATGTTTGCGTTTTGGTCGGTCATGGACTTGATCTACAATTATGTGATTTGCAGTCATTGACATGCTTTTCATGTGTACGCTACCAAGTAGCAATGACTTAACTTATGCAATACATTGCTCCTTTTTATTCCATTTTATCCTTTTTTGTTTGGTCTTCACTTTCGTTTAGTCCTTATGTTTTTCTTTAACAGTATGTAATTTTATAATATAATTTGTGAATTGAGATAAGTGAGTCATACTTAGTTTGATGATTAGTGACTGGATAGCAGCTCTACTCCTTATGATTATAGTGTTTGTATACTCTTATCAACATCTATTTTTTATGCTTCCATGGTTAGTGGAGTTCAGTAATTGTTTGTGATGAAAAGATGAGAGCGTTGTAAAAGTGGGCAACAACTCATTTTCCTACTGTGACTGTCATTTGATAAACATGGACAGTAGATGTTGGGTTCAAGTACCCTACTCCAAACAACATGGAAAATTTTCCCTGATGTTTATTAACTAAATGAACAACATAAAGTTGAATAATTTCTTTGTTCACTTTAATCAAAGATATGGGTTTTGGTTCTGTTGAATGGACTTCTGTGCTTAAGAGATGGACTTTTGCTTACTGCAATTCACTATCTTTTCATAGTTTAATCATCTCCACCTTCATGGTTTGGTATTGACATGGTGCTGTCACATTGCAGTTTGATATAAAATGGCCGAGGCTGAGGATATTCAACCCCTTGTCTGTGACAATGGCACTGGAATGGTGAAGGTTAGTTTTTTGAATCCTTTATTGCGTCTCTTTAATTCTCTGAAACTTCATTCAACACTGGTGTTCTTATATGTTGCTTCATTTCAGGCTGGATTTGCTGGAGATGATGCCCCAAGGGCTGTGTTTCCTAGTATTGTTGGTCGACCCCGACACACTGGTGTCATGGTAGGAATGGGCCAAAAAGATGCATATGTTGGAGATGAAGCTCAATCAAAGAGAGGTATTCTCACTTTGAAATACCCAATTGAGCATGGTATAGTGAGCAATTGGGATGACATGGAGAAGATTTGGCATCACACCTTCTACAATGAGCTTCGTGTTGCTCCTGAGGAGCACCCAGTTCTTCTCACTGAGGCACCCCTGAACCCCAAGGCAAACAGAGAGAAGATGACCCAAATCATGTTTGAGACCTTCAATGTTCCGGCAATGTATGTCGCTATTCAGGCCGTGCTTTCTCTGTATGCCAGTGGTCGTACTACTGGTGCGTATGACTTATTCTCTCATTCTGTTCATTTTTCCTTATTCTCCATCCCCATCATGAACCATGCATGCATGGATGGGTTTTATTTTATATTATTTAATGCTAGCCATTTTACTCGGTGTAGATGCATAGTTTCAGACTCTTATGCCATGTGGAGTTTGCTGAATGCCCTCATGCTTGCTATTTTATGAACGTGTTGTTGATAACGAAGAAGCCACATCTTCTTTCAATGCTCAAAATAACTCTTTAATTTTTAAATCTTTAATTTTTAAATCTTTATTTTTTAAATCAGTCAATTGATATTCTTTTGTTCTTTTGTAATTAGGCGTGCATTTAAATATTAGTGATCTATAGTTTTTTCACCTGATCTTTTTTTCTTGTTAATGATTCGCTACATATTCAGATATATTGCTGTAGTATTGGTTTTGGATTATTATATGTTGATTTACTGATTTGCTATGGTCTCTTCTATTAGGTATCGTGCTCGACTCTGGTGACGGTGTCAGCCACACAGTCCCAATCTATGAGGGTTATGCCCTCCCTCACGCCATCCTCCGTCTTGATCTTGCTGGTCGTGACCTCACTGATGCCCTAATGAAGATCCTGACTGAGAGAGGCTACTCCTTCACCACAACAGCAGAGCGGGAAATTGTTCGTGACATGAAGGAGAAGCTCGCATACGTGGCTCTGGACTACGAACAAGAGCTTGAGACTGCAAAGAGCAGCTCCTCCATTGAAAAGAGCTATGAGTTGCCTGATGGTCAGGTGATCACCATTGGGGCTGAGAGATTCAGGTGCCCTGAGGTTCTATTCCAGCCATCTTTGATAGGAATGGAAGCAGCTGGTATCCATGAGACTACATATAATTCAATCATGAAGTGTGACGTGGATATTAGGAAGGACCTTTATGGAAACATTGTGCTCAGTGGTGGGTCAACTATGTTCCCTGGTATTGCTGATCGTATGAGCAAGGAGATCACTGCTCTTGCCCCTAGTAGCATGAAGATCAAGGTGGTGGCTCCACCTGAGAGGAAATACAGTGTCTGGATTGGAGGTTCTATCTTGGCATCTCTCAGCACTTTCCAACAGGTAATAATATATGTGGTTTTTCTTCATGCTAAAGTTTGAAAGAGCATGCCTGATTCCTAATATCTAGAAGTTATGTGCATGGATATGGCCATAGAAATTGTCTGAAGCTATCATAGGAATATAAATTACTCATTATATTAGAAGTAATATCTTACGATCACTTCAAATATAGGGAAAAGTATGATAATGGCCCTGGTGACGATGGTATCTACAAGTTATGTGCATGGATATGGCCATAGAAATTGTCTGAAGCTATCATAGGAATATAAATTACTCATTATATAATAAGTAATATCTTACGATCACTTCAAATATAGGGAAAAGTATGATAATGGCCCTGGTGACGATGGTAACTTTTTGGGGTAATCACCATCCCACCCATACTTAGGATAGTGGAGGAAGGGTGGTTCTTACTGAACATGTCACCAGTTTTTCTCCATTATCAGTCTACGACCAATTGATTGGGCAGCAATAACTTCTTCGACCATACACTTATCATGGTTGCCCTTCCAAGTGTACCCAATGTCTGTGTGTGCATGTGTGTGAATGGATTGATGTTAAAGTGACCAAATGTTTTTTAGTCATCTTACTGGTTCTTTGCTTACTATATCCATCTCATATATAACATGCACTGAATCATATTAAGTATCCCTTTTCCATTTGTAATCATCCACGTCTTTTTTTCGTTGATGATTTTGATTTCCCACATTTTAAGACTTCCATTTGGATCATTTTTGGACAATATGTTTCTATACCTAAAGTTTCAAATCCTCCATCGTATATTTCTCTCACTGCATTTTATTCCTTTGATCCATTGTCTTTGTTTCATTCCAAACCACTTGATCATTCGTTCCACAGATTTTTTATTGGTTGTGGTTTCTTTTTGTTAGTTTTTTACTGCTTTTAGCAAAATGACATGATATGGGATTTTGCTTATGTCATGTTATATTCATCAGTTTCTTTTTTGTTAGTTTTTTTTCTGCTTTTAGCAAAATGATGTGATTCGAGGTTTTGTTTTGTCATATTATATTTATTGGTTTCTTTTTTGTTTAAGTTTTTTACTGCTTTTAGCATAATGACATGATATGAGATTTTGCTTGTGTCATATTATATTTATCGGTTTCTCTTTTGTTAGTTTTTTACTTCTTTTACAAAAATGACATGATATGAGGTTTTGCTTTTGTCATTATATGCGTCGGTGTTGAGACTAGTAAAAAAGCAATGAATGCTCATGCTGGTTTGCTTTGTTGACATGTTGTCATTTGTGATAGTATGAAGGTGTGGATATTGGTTTGTATATGTACTAATTATTGAGTGTTGAATTTGTTTGGATGCAGATGTGGATAGCCAAGGCTGAGTATGATGAGTCTGGCCCATCCATTGTTCACAGGAAGTGCTTCTAAATGAAAACGATGGTCAGTGGTATGTCGCTTTTTCACCTTTGGGTCCCCCCTTTTTATGTGAGATCTAGCTGTTTGATTGAGAAATGGTGTAGAAGAGTATTTGCAGTGAGGTTTTCTAGAGTTGTATTAGCTTGATATGGTATTGTATGTCTTGCTTTAGATTGGAAAATTTCCGGTCACCTTGTCCCCTCTCTATTTCTCTCCCTTGAGCCATTGGTATTTGTAATGGCTAGTTTCCCTGTCATTGAGGATTATGGGAATGTAGTAGTTTTTCCATTTGTCGGAGGGAGTCAGAGAGAGACTGCCGATTGTTGTGGCAACCTAGTGGTAGAGAGCGTGTGGGTATGTTTTTTTGGGCTGTTTCTGTTAATAGTAGTATGAGAAATTTGATATGATATCAACCTCTGGTATTGACTCATTTATTGGGTGTTAGTGTTATCATATTGTTATCTCTATTCCTTTATTAATTTTGTGTGATTGTTTAATAATCACCCGGTTTTTACTGGCTACATGGGAACTTTAGATTGGAATGACATTGTTTTATGTTAATGTTTGTATTGTAAAATGATCCCGGTTTTTTTAGAAATGTTTGTTGCATTGTGGTCGGGTTTGAATGGTTTACTGCTTGTCTAGGCAATGCAGCGTTTTGCTGTCTTTGCGAACATAGCTTGCTGCTTCTTGTGGCAGGCTCGATACAATGGATTTGATCGATACGAGGAGGTAAGTCTTGCGAAGTTGTCAAAACTCCCCTCCTCTTCTCTCTCTCTCTCTCTCTCTCTCTCTCTCTCTCGCTCGCTCGCTCGCTATTTATTGCTTGCTTTCACCTGTGTGTTTCTATCAATTTATTGCTGAAAACTTTGAGTTCTTGAGTATTTTACTATTAATCGCCTTTCATTTTCTTGATATATTTATTTTTATGTTTTTCTTGTTAATGTGAGGCTTATAAGCCCCTTCTTTCAGCAAAAAGGCTTATAATATCTCCCCCTTTCTTTCCCTCATCGAGGATGTACTGAAAGAAGGCTTATATGTGCTACAGATCTACGTTTTTCTTGTTGGTCACCTGTTTTCCTGAGATGGACATTTAAAGTTTGAAAGTGTTAAACCGTATCAAGTCAAACTGCCTGACGTTTTTCATTTCTTTTATTTCGAGTTTTTGGTATCCTCCTGGTCGAAGATGAATGATGCTTGTATCTGGAAATGGGTGGGTGTTTCAGTAAAAAATTGGTCTCAGTTGATTGGGTTTGATGAATTAGATGAAGGCCTTTAAATCATAACATATAATGTATCAATGATTTATTTTGGAGAAAGATTTTTGGTAAAATTCTCTCAACCTCGTATGATTAATATTTATTATTATTATTATTATTATTTTTGGAGGCATCCGGTTTTTGTAGGGAGTGTGCTTCACATTGTTTATACCCATTGAATCGCACTAACGAGCATGGTCAGGTGAACTTATGTGGGGAGAGAAATAAGGTCAGGGGCTATATCTTAAAAGAAATGTATGGCAATTTAGCAACAATGTCTTGATGTGTATGAAATGCCTATCTTCACGAGATATGAACAAATCAGTTGAATATGAAATCGGATGGATCATTCAACCCACATATTTATATTGCAATGTCGGATTGCTGATTTGGATTAGTTCAAATTAGTGATTTAAGTTTTGTCATTATATTTTTTGGAAATACTTTTAGGAAAATATTTCTGTACTCGTTATTTTTAAGTTTCATTTCACAATAGACTTACTGTTTTAAGAGATATCTTTGAGTATAAAAATGGTAGATTTTTTTTTTAAGTTAATATAAACTTAGTTTTTCAGGCTAAATAAATCTAAAAAGATATTTTTGTAAAGCCATCTTTTCAAATTTTTACAGAGAGTAGGGTTTCATGGAGGTGTGAGAGGTTATCGGGAAGAGAGAAGTAGAGTGTGAGATTCAGAAATAGAGAAGTTTGAGATATATAAGTAAAGAGAAAAGATTGAGTTTAGAAAGAGCATGTTTGGGGGCATGGAGATATTTTCATGATATTTTTTCGTAGGTGAGGCCATTCAGATGATAGCACACATTAAATTTCAATTTAATGTTCCTATGATCTGAGAGATTTAAATAAAATACTCTGAGATGTTAGATCTAGATCATATGGAGAGAAATTCACTTATGACGGTTTGCATGAAGCTTTCTTGTCCATCTATTTAGATTTTAGGCGTTTAGGAGGGATGCATGTATAAATTCCATATTTAGATTAGGCGTTTAGGAGAGATGCATGTCTAAATTCTATACGCTTAGTGGTAAAATAATGAATTATTATGAATAATTTTTCTTTAAAAAAATATAATATGGTAAAATTTAGATACATACTTTATAATTACGTATTTATTTTTATAACACTAATATGCACACTAGGCAAGACAGAGAGATTCAAATAAAATAATGAATTGTTATAAATAATTATTCTTTAAAAAAATATAATATGGCAAAATTTAGATACATACTTTATAACGTATTTATTTTTATAACACTAATGTGCACACTAGGCAAGACAGAGATTCAAATAACAGAAGATGGATTTTCAAAATAGAATAGAGATTGTTTCAGAAGAAAGATTCAAATTCCAAGATGGATTTTCAAAATAGAATAGAGATTGTTTCAGAAGAGAGATTCAAATTCCAAGTTGAAAAACATGGAAGCAACTAAGCGATCCCAGAGAGAGAGAGAGGGAGAGAGAGAATGTTAAAGGGGTGCAAGAGATAGGAGTTCCTATTTTTTAATAGATTGTGCATTGAAGAGAAAATGAATCATATGAAGAGAGAGAGATGGTGGCTGATAAGTTTCACTGATTCCTGTGAAACTCTTCTGCTGCTGATTTTTTATTTTTCTAGATTATGGGAAGTAGGTGAAAATTCTTTGGGAAACGGAAACTCTGTTTGATAAATTGTGGTGTTCTAATTTTTTTTATTTTTTTGGATTTTGGGAAGCGGGGAAACTCTGTTTGATATATTATGGTGTTGTATTTTCACCTATTTAGCATTAGGATAGCTGGTTTCTTGGATTATGGGAAGCAGCTGAAAATTGGTAGTGTGAGTGTGAAAGCTGGAAACTTGTATATTCACCTATTCGGTATTGGGATAGGTGGTTTTTTCGAATCTGAAAAGCAATTGAAAATTGGTAGTGTGAAAGTTGGAAACCTTGTTTGATACATACTAGGGCTGCCAATGAATAGGGCCCGGCCTTGAGGGCTCGAGAAAGCTCGAAACTGTTTCGGGCTGGCCCGGTAAGGCTCGGCCTGGAATAAGCCCACCAACGGTCTGGCCCGGTAAGCCCGAAAAAGTGTATAGAGGCCCTAGCCCGGACCAGTAGGCCTGGAAATTTCATATCCTAGAATTGAAATATACATTGGAAAACAATATTGATTCATACCTAAATTACGTTTAGCATGATTAATTAAGTACTTGATTTTTTATTGTCCCATTTAAAAATTGGTTTTTGCTTCTCACTGACATAGAAAAGGCCTTTGAAAAGCTGTGAATTCTTCCATTTAGGGCCAAAAGAATAGAATTACTAAATGGTTTCCATTGAGAGTTAAAAAAACAAGGATCTTTCTCATGGTTGGTGTGTAGGAAAGCAACTTGTTTTTATACCAGTCCCATAGAGGAATTTCTCTTGTTTCTCAGGCATCTCTTACATTACAAGTCCATGATTGAAGATGTAATCTGTATTTGACTGGTCTAGCCAATAGGACGTTGTTTATATTTTCAAAATTTCCCATCTGATTGCTTACTGTGAATATGTGAACTCGAGCATGGGAAGAAGCTTTGGGTGGAGTTGGAAAAAAATTATTGGGCTGTTGGGAACCTTAAGTTTGATTGATCTTTTAATTGTCAATGAAAGTTGGGAATTACCTTTGATTGTGCTTGGATTGAATTTTTTGAAAATAATACATAAAATCTGTTATCAGCAAAATTCGTCCAAATTTCAGCTGAGTTTTTCAAATTGAATTCACTTTTTTGAGAGAGAGGGGTTTTTAGAGAGAGAATGAGATATTGGCTTTTTGGAGAGAGAGTTTGTAGAGATAGAAAGAGAAATAAAGAAAGAGATATTTGGTTTTTAGAGAGAGATAAAAGTGGGTTTTAGAGAGAAATTGGGTTTTTAGAGATAGAGATTTGGTTTCTAGAGAGAGAAATAGTGGGTTTTAAAGAGAAATTGGGTTTTTAGAGAGAGATTGAGTTTTGAGAGAGAAAGATTTTAGAGAGAGAATAGGTTTTTAGATAGAGAAGAGAGATTGAGTTTTTATTTGGGCCCAAACGAGACATTAATGAGCTAACCGTGGATAACCTGGCCTGCTGGACAAATTCCAGGCTAATCAAACCCAGCCCAATGCCCACTAGCGGCCCATTAGTGGGCCCTGCCCGGAAGCCCACGGGTAGGCCTTGTCTATTGGCAGCCCTAGATAAAGTATGGTATTGGTAATTTTACCTATTTAGTTTTGATATGGTGTGGTGCTGGTGATTTTACCTGTTTGACATTGGGACAACTGGAAACTGACTGTATAACTGTTTATTATGTATTTTATTGACATGACGTGCGAAATGCACATTTTGAATAACATTTTGTAAATAAATTAGGTTCCTTCTATGCATCCAATATAATAGAAAACATGTAAATAGATTCAAGAAATACTTTATTGTGCTTGGAGATCGTAAAATTATCAACCTCCTCTGATGCTACCAACATTTACATAAATAAGAAATAAAATTGTTTTTTCTTACTATCAAAATTTTACTCAGTATATAAGAGCTAACATATTCCAGTTTTTTAAGAAATAAATATTTAAAAGTTTCAAAGCTAATCATTCCATTTTGCCATCACACTAGAGTATTACATAATATTTTAATGGCACCTAAATTTACACTCAATTCAATTTAAAGTTTATTCGTATATTCATTTAAAGTAGTCAATGAACAAGTGAATAGATCGTTGCACAAATTAAATTTAATTGTAAAAACAGAATCAAAATTTGAAACCAAGGCCAATGGGAGTTACCCATCAGTTTGATTGCAAGAAGTAGATAATATTAAAACCATAGAATCATTTCATCATTAAAACCATAGAATATTACTAATGGAGCTGCCCACATGGCTATGGACATAAGAGAACGTTATTGTTAAAACCAACGTTTCGACAATTTTCAGCACTTTGCATAACAGTCACAAACATTTAGAAGATACAAAGCATGTGTGTCATTTGCTTTAATAACAGTCAATAGATGATGGAACAAACTATATGGCTACCAAAACCACGAATGGAGAAACCTAGACACTCAAAATGGCAAAATTTCTAGAAAAGTCAAAGTGCTCCAAAATTTTCATAGCAAAATTTCCACAACACTCAAAAGAGTATGAACCTTGGTCATGAAAGACTGATCATATTTCTCAATCGTGAAAGACTAATCACAACACACATT